CGAGTCCTTTTCAAGTCCGGAACTACTACTTGCAGATATTAGAACTGCTTGCAGAAACCATGGTGTTGAGATTTGTGGTCAAAACTTGAACATTGGCGGCACCCCCAAGAGTTTCGAACAAATTAAGAAGAATTTGGCAGGTGGGAATGGTATCGACCTGTTTCTTTACCAGAGAATGGGTGCGGAGTTCTTTTCGCCAAAAAACTTCCCTTTGTTTTCGGGTTTCGTTAGGAGTTTAAACCAACTGGAACTGGATTCAGATGACTTGGCTGTAAATGAGAGAGAAGCTGCTGTATTTGTACCTGGTAAGAACCGAAAACTGCAAACTGTATAGAGTTGTGATGAATATTAGATGTATTCCTGCAATCTGCATATAAACTTGTACATTCTTTTATTGCAAATCATACTTGTCTACTGTTGAGATATGACGTTGTGAACCCTTTTTACTTGTTAAGCGATAATCGGAAAATCCAGCTAAAAGACCAATCTTTTTTTCTAATTACATGGAACCCATGCAAAATATTAAGGAAGTGATGGCTTGGTTTATTTAAATATAATATAAATATATTTTTTTAAACTAAAAATGGTTAATTTTTTATTTAAATATAATTTTTTGATAAAAATTAGAACTAAACAAGTTATATCTAAACAAACAGTGGTTTTTTTTTTCTTTTTTTAATTTGACATTTCATATTGTTATTTTTTTCATCCCTTTTTTTTAAAAACGGGTAAAAAATAATATTATCAATCAACTTTTGTAAAAGAAAAAAAAACGCAGTAGAATTAAGAAGAAAAAGTACCACATGTTTGTGAAAGTATCTATAAGTCAACCGTTCGAGTCTTTCTATTTTACTGGGGATTTCTCCAAACGGTCTGATGGGAATAATCGAGGTATGTGAAAGTTGATCCGAATATCCACGATTATAAAAATAAGATAGAAATTGAATTGATAATTTAATTTTACTTTTAAGGAAATGGAAATGGAAACAAGTTGATCATTAGCAGTATTAACTTGAACTTTCAGTAACAACATAGGAAATATATGTTCTTTGCAAATCAATAAACTTTGTTGTCTCGGTCTAAAACATCAATTGCATAGGATATGATATGTATGAGAACCCATATTATTAATATATGATTAAAATACAAAACATAATTTAATAACGTAATTTAAAATATTACAAATGATATTGTTTTTATATTTTAAAGATTATCGTGCCAAGGTCGGCTGGTCGGGTAGTGAGAATGAAAGTGATTGTGAGAAGAGTAAGAAGGAATCTCCATCCTTGGATCAATTCTAATTCTTCATCAACACTAATGAGATGCACATAATCAATTCCTGTGAGAAGTGCAATTCATAAGGTAGGAGTTTTGAGAATAAAAGTGATCAAGGGTCCAAATCCTTTCTTACGTTTCTCATCTTAACTGTTATTCTCACACGATCCTTCGTCTATCGTGCCATAGGATAAGCTGCATCGTACCATATTTCCAGTTGTGAGAGTAAATCAATTACTTCAATAAGAGAATACTCTTCTTCTGAAACTAGTGTTTGTATTTTTTTTTTTAACCTGGATATCCAACCCGCTATGCGAGTCGACTAATCCTATGGCGACCACCTGCTTTGTAGATAGCCCGAAGTCACCGCATTTGAACCTCCATGGCCACAATGGCATTTTTATTCCTCCTTGGATTTGAACCTGAGACCTCCAGGTACTTTTGACCTTCGGAGCCAAGCTCAAACCAATCGGGCACCACCCTGGTTAGTGTTTGTATTTTGTATACTCCTTTTCCAATCCAGGTCCTAACCAATTTATTACTCATTAAAGATGGTATGTAACTCCACTGCTTATGTTTGTGATAAGAAAAGAAACGCCTTAAGAATAAATGTAGCAAGTTTTAGATGGCGTTTTTATTTCAAGATGAGTTCTTGTATTAATTACATATCATTCTTCTAACAAATTGCATTGTTGGCTGTCGTGCATGTCCAGCCCCACTCACCGCACGAAACACAAAACCATTGACATAGCTTATGATCACTCGGAAAATCCAAGCCATTCATCATCACTCGGAAAATCCAAACGAAAATCCATGACTACCCAAAAAAAAAAGATACAAAAAGTTGTTAAGAAAATGTTTCCATCATGGCATATGGCATATGGCATTTCCATTTAGTTTTAGACACTTTTAGAGTGGTCTGACAGTTGCTTGCTGCAGGAATGATGCTCAATGCCACTGCTGGTGATCCTTAACACATCCATGACCACTGAACAATAATTTATGTTATTTATCAATGTTTATATGAAATTTAATGAATTCCCAGGTTTCAACAAGTTCTTGGCTTGTATTCACCATTGATGGTCATGGAACTGCCACCAAACTCAGAAAGAAGTTGTTTCAATGCAATTAAAACAGCGAATGTCTACATTTCCCAACCTAGAAAAAGACCCAACAATTTGTTCTTCAAGAACAAACAGAAAAATTATTGCAACTTCATAAAACTCCAATGAGAATCTGATGAACCAGTTTCCATATCATATAGGGATAACAGGAAGCAAATAAGTCGACAGAAAATGATACATTGCAATTAATATAGTCCAATGTTAGATAAGAGTATTTGTTCAATAGTTGTATGTTTATTTGAAGTTCACTGACCTGGCTAACCAACACAAAGGGCGAAAAAGATGAACATGTACAGTACTCAATCACCATCCCGTAATGTAAAAATCGAACAAGAAACACAAACAACAAAATACTTTACCTCTGCATTCTACACGTAAAAAGTGGGTTTCCCGGCACTTGCCATTCATTGGTCCAGCCTTCTGGTTTTGAAGTCTAATTATTCTTTGATGATGAATCATTATGTTTCTTTCTGCGTGGACGACCTGCAGGAGCAGGCTCCGCCAATGGCCCAGACCAAGTCTGGATCGGTGGTTTTGCATATGAAAAGTTTGAACTGAATGGGACATCAGGTGGATCGAAAGTTGGATCCATGTGATGTGAAGAACCGAGTGGGTAACCCATTGTTCCGTCCTGATGGGGCGGAGGAAACTTCTCACTCTTGCTCTTTGCATTTGCATGTGTAATCAACCGCCGTCTCTGCAAAGGTAACACGGCTTCAATACATGATTTCTGTGGAAAAAAATGGGACGTGTATATCTATATATAACAGTAATGTCTGCCATGTGACATATATGATGTATGTGCATATGAGAATTCCACACCATGTTTTGGTAGAATAACAATCTGAGGACAAAATATTGTATTTTTGCAATTTTTTTCAATCGGTGATTAGTTTACTCATTAATATTACACTTGACAATTTTCATAGATTGTTTCCCCTACAACTTCTTCTCATATATTTTTTGTTAATCTTTTCCATGCTTTACAGATTTTACTTCAGACATATTAGAGATGTGTACGATACAAGAAAATATACAACATCCATCCGAAAACAGAGCTTACATTGACATCTAAATGCCAAGGGAGTTATGTTTAACCTCAAAATTAACTAATAGAAACCCATGACATTTAGTCAAAGGAAGACGAAAACAAAATAAATATTTATTTAAAATGATAGCGAAATGTGAAGCATAAGTGTAATAATCATTTCCAATGTTGAATTTCACCTTTAAGTCAATCCTTCAAGTTAATACCATGAGATAGCAAACAAAAACATCACGACATGCAATAGTTAGATTAACAAATTGCCACACATAAGATGATGATACAAACATTTCTTAACATGGCCTCATACTAAACTAGAAAGGTTACTACAACTTCACCCCATTAATCATAATATTGATGTTTATTCAAATTAAAAGTTCACATTGGTATGTCTTGTTTTCAATGCCGATCATTCTAAAAGCTACTTTTATACCAGTGGTTTAACACGTCACAATTATCTTCTAGATGATAAGATATTTTTTTGTTTTCAGTAGTAATCATTTGAGACTTAACAGTCAAATGTGAACTGTTCTTTTGGAATGCAGATTGCAAGTGTACAAATGTTTAGCAACTCTGGGAGATATTTGCTACTATGAAAAAGAGCAACTAAAAAGGACGTGTAGGAGTAAGTAGTAAGCGATGAGAAGAGGAAATTGGGAAATTAAGAATAACTCAGTTACTTTTTTGCACAAACCAAAAAAAATCAAATTAGAGTGGATATTTTGAGGGGAATAATCTATGATAAGCATTATCTTAAAGCATTCATAGGTATGGCCGTTTTGTTATTTCAAAAAATATAGGTAACTAATATGTTTGTCGTCACATATAGAGGATGAGCATTTTTAGGGTTAAAACAAAAATAATTACATGTTATTCAACCAAACATTGTGTTAACAAACAACTCCGTACTTATTTATTTTGGTGTATGTCCTAGTTTATATGACCATTTATGTTCCTTCATGGTTTTAAGCTTTGGCCCATGCCCTCATCTTGCCTTTCACTTATTCCCTCTTCCACTAATGATGCAGATATCTACTTTTTGACCCTCTTTCTTTTCAATTCCTCATAACGAAACCATAAGGTAGCTGTCCAGTGGAGCATGGGTGGGTGTGACTCTAGTGGAGATGGGTAAAGATGCTAACAGGGATAGAAAGTTTATCAAAAAATAAACATTAAACTAGAAGTAGCCATTTGTAGGATGTCTATAGCCTCTTAGCCGTCTTTTTCTGACGTGAAGTCGTGGAATGGCCTCAGGGTCTAGGTTAAATTTTTTAGGGTGGGTGGTCTCTGTATTTTCCCAAATGTGGAGGTCATCTCCTATTAACCTCTAACCTAGAAGATAATACAGCATGACTCCGGAAGAAGAAACATCTAAAATGTTCCTAGGTGAGCAATATCTCGAGACTGATAAAGAAGGATCGACAATTTGCAGCAACATGCCCTACTGTCCTAAATTTTAGCTGAAAAAAGTTTATATGCCTTACATCAATGTTTGCTTGCAGTTCAGCATTGGCTTCTGGAGCAGGCATAGCCCTTGCAGGTCTTTCACGTGTGCGAGTCTTCTTCACTCCATCAGCATTGGTTTTACCAGCAGCTCTCAATCTACCCAAAAATATGAGACTCAAGTCATGTTTGAGTTGATGAGCAAGCTAAATAAATTTAGAGAAACCTGACCAATGTATTCTTTTTTTATTTATGACTTGGGTCAGTGTTTTTGCATTTTTAATGAAAAACCACACTGCACACCTTCTAGCTTCTTCATCACGGAGTTTGGCATCCATCTCCTTGCTCGGTGGGTATTTTGGAAGGCTTGAAGGATCACAAGCATAAGGTTTCGTCGTGAAGAACTGAAAAAAATACATGGCAGATATTACTAATCAACAGCATGTTCTCATCATCAAAATCATGTATGAGTAACAAAAAAATATTCAACTATTATGGAACAAGACATGTATAGGTATCATTGTTAAAAAAATTGGAGATGGTGGGTGATCCATATGGCCTTAGGGCTCCACTACCCATCATAATTGGTTTGGGCCTTTTAGGACATTTTATTACTGCTACCATGGTGGCAGGTAAGTAAACAGGTGGAGGTGTGCGTTGAAATTGTCATATGCAACCATTCAAGAATAGATTGATTTGAACCATTTCAGTGCTACACTGAACCAAAGGGATGAAGAGGATTGAAGACCATAAAGATGAGGTGTTGTGAGCTTGAACTTCATTGTGTCAAAAAAGAAACGAATGATTAAGAATTTTGCATCATATCAAGAATTAAGTAATGTGGCCTTGTTTATCTAATCTTAGCACTTCTCGCTTTTCTCTTCTCACTTCTTAAGTGTTCAGATGAAATCTTTTTCACCCATTTTACAATCCAAAAGATAAAAAAATAGCATTTTAAAAGTATTTATATCAAAGGCATACAGATTTGCAAATTCCTTGAATATGGAGGTTAGCTTTAAGGATTTTAACACTAATTACCAAGTAGGCTTCTGCTTCATAATTGTAATTAAACAATCAAATTCAGGTCAAATGTTGGTTCTTCTGTATGACAGAGGCATTACTGATAGCAAGTAGTAACAGATCATTTTGCCCCATAAAATACACACAGTTCAGCGCAGAAGAAAAAATGTCACAAGTTTGTGAAGGATCTTGTGGGATTGATGAGAATGGCAGACATACTAAAGCGAGAGCCACCATAATGAAGCTATACATATTGAAAATATATGCAAATAATTTTAGTTCTCAATTTAAATTCCTCAAACAAGAAATAAGTTAATGTGCTTGCTGCTGTTTTCATATTTTCTTTGTAATGTGCAAACACCTTATGTATTACAATGATGACACGTAAGGAACCTATGTAACAGCTAGCTATAAGAAAAGGTTGAGAAAGACTGGTTGATGAAAAGATTAAAGTAAATAAGTGAATCAAGTTGAAGAAAAACACAGATAGTTCTCATCTGTAGACAGCAATAATGCTTTCATTGGCTTAAAAACTACAGAAACCCTTTAAAGCTCAGCTGTTCCTATCAGGTCTACGGTCATACAATTACAAAATTAATTGCAACTAATTAGTAATTTGATCAAATGATTAGTGTTGTTTTTTTCCCTCTGTTCAAGTGCTTAGCATGTGACATTCCTAAAAAGTGAGGAAGGTAGACAACGGAAACTTCCATAAGGTAGCATATGATCATAGAATTAGTTATATGAAGTGCAAGGCATATAAGAGGGCAAAAGGTCTCCTCAAGGCATGTGTCTCACATCCAGAATGCATGACATGCAAAAATCCAAACATTGATAGACCAAAAGACCCAGCATGTCCCACCGAAGGTAGGGTCTTGGGTTGGGGGGAGATGCGAAAAAGATTAAGAAACATATCAATAAAGCACAATAATAGGCCACATATAAACAAACAGAACTTTTTTTCCGTTAAAGATGGAGTTTACAAGAATGCAAAAAAAAAAATCAAACATATATATACACACACAAAAAACCATTATAAGGGGTGGAAAGGCATATGCATGCTAACAATAATGAATTTATCAAAGCATCATTGACGTAGGTTAACACCAACATGCACACATAAACATAAACATATGTGTTAACAATATTAATATAAAGTTATCAAATTAAGTTACAATACAACCAATTACAGTAGTATCTACATAAATTAATATTGTTGGGACCATGAGATTACATTATTTTATAGAGGTTTAATTACCCGATAAATTAATATTCATTAATTTACAGACTGTCATTTGCAGTTCAGTGAAGTTGAATTTTAGTTACATAAAAAATTCATTGAATTAATGTAAAAAAAATCCATTGCACATAATATTAGTGGAAAATAATACCATTTGTTATTTTCATAAAATCCAAAAAGTAAGGATAACATAAAGACGATAATCCCCTTATAGAACTCTAGTTTTCTTTCTTGCCCAAAGATGCATCAATATCATATACAATATATTCTCATATGCCAAAACTGGAATCTAAAAAAAAAGTGAGAAATATAAACAAAAAGCAGAACATGTCCAACAATGCCAAATGAATAATGCAATGTCAGTTTATAGGCCATATCAATTCTTGACGTCTATTTATATGTGTGCATGTTTACTTCCTGAGAATAATGGTTTGTCACACAAACCCAATCTGGTTTGACATAATGGATTGTACGAATTTCAGTCTAGATAAGATGTACTTAATTCAGAGGCAAATAACAATTCTAGTTATGCAATTGTAAGTAGTTCCAAAATACACGTACATTTGAGGATAGGGGAGACAGATAGTCCCATGCATGATTTCTACTTAAAATTCACATGGTTTCTAGAACTCGAAAGAAAATTTCAACCATCCAAATGAAAGCAATCCAGAAGAAAACACTTGTAGAAAGTAAAGATCTATTCCACAAGGAACTCCTATGTGAGATCACAAAATTTTAAGGATAATTAAAATCAAAATCCATAACGACTTAAATGCGTTGATGCCTAGGTAAAAAGGGATTCAAATTCCAGACAATATTCTACAAATTTTTGAAGAAATCTGATACTGTGAAATGTCATCCCTCTTGCAAATAGAAGAGCAAGGACTTGTATCTTGCAGACCCTATATATTCGTAGGAGCTCCATCCCTCAAATACAAAGTTAGGAATTTTCCTCCATGAAAGCTCAGGACTGGTGAATCTATGGTGTTGATAAAGAAAGCTAAGAATACATCCAGATCAAAACAAAAGCCTGCACAGGTGAAGTTTGCCAGCAAGTAATTGAACTCTTCATCTCAAAAAGAAATCAGGAATCTGATTTATGGAAGGTCCTCTATTCGAACATTGGGATTGGCGATAGCCAAGTCCAATTTTTATCTTAACTTGCTCATATACCAGAGCATACAATATGATTTATCACCATGGAATCTGATTCCACATGGATCCTTGCATCTACCTCAAAACCTTGTAACCCCATCGTTGTGACTATACAACAAACCAACAATGCAAGACGTCAAGCACAGAACATAAAACCTACCTGGTGTTCTATAGGCCAGTTATATCCTATAAATGAGATTTCTTCACTAACTGAACCTGCAATATGTTTTTTTGTCTTTTTCTATTGTTTAGCTTCTTAAACCTTGACAGATATAGATAAGAAAACTAAGACAGAAGAAAGGACTTGGAAAATTGATTATACCAAGAATAGTTAGCACATACATATAATAGGAAAAACCTACATATTTTGCAAATGTAAAGAGAAACAACAGGAAAAGATTAAATGAAAATGGGATATGGATGCTCACTTCACTTCTCAAAGCAGCTGTTGCAGTTTGACGTTCAGCCGGATCAATGGCAAGGAGGGTATCAATCAGTGGCAATGATGAAGGTGGGAAAGCTTTGAATGTGTCTGCTATGCATCGTTTGTACGACTGCTGGGGTTTAAATATGGTTGCATGTGGTAGCTTTGACTTTTTCCAATATTCTTCAGAAGGGGAACCACATAACTTGAAGATCTTATGAAGCTGCTCTACCTGGGTGCAAGGGAGTGAAGTGTAATGTGAACGAAATACTAACTCTAGTCACTTTGCTCAAAAAATGGGCATTCATGGAAAAAAAAAAAAACAAGACTCAATATAAACCTCATATACCCATTTTAAAACATACAGAGAATAATGCCACTAATAGCCATTTCACACCCTCTACGTGTTTGTGCAAAGCTTTAATAACATAAATACATGGCATACACTCTAAAAAGGAATAATGGACATAAAAAACAAAACCTATTACAACCAATACATTTTCAACTAGCCATATATAGAAAAAACTGTATTTACAGTATAGATGTCAAACTCATAATAATACATACCAAATAGATACAAGCAACTGTATCACAAGATGTGTTTATATTATGAAGAGAATTATTTCCTGGATATATCCACTACTTCTAATGGCTACAAATATAGGAAGAAGAGATTATAAATTACCTCCGTACGGCCAGGCATGATAGGCTTCCCAGCCAATAACTCTGCTAAAATGCAACCTGCACTCCAGAGGTCAACACCTACACCATAATCAGTGGCCCCGAGAAGCAGCTCTGGTGGTCTATACCATAATGTAACTACCCGACTAGTCATTGGCTGCTTGTGATTAGGATCAAAGAAGGAGGCCAGGCCAAAATCAGCAATCTTCAAACTCCCACCATTATCAAGAAGAAGATTTGACCCCTTGATATCCCGATGCAGCACGTGGCGGTTGTGACAATGTTCAAGCCCAGACAAGAGCTGATGCATGTAACACTTGACCTAAAACATTCACAGATGCTTAACACAAAAAAGATAGTCATCCAAAGGATGCTAACCACAACACAATGGACAGTCATTTAAATTTGAGCAAAATATCATAATCTAACCTGAGGCTCTGTAAACTTGATAGTAGGACTGGCAGCAAGTCCAGCCAAGTCATGTTCCATGTACTCAAAAACAAGATACAAGCTGCAAGACATCCTTGACGTCACCAACCCTTCCAACTTTACAACATTGGGATGATCTAACCGGCGCAATATCAAAATCTCTCTGGCCATAAACTTCACACTCTCGGGCTCCAAATTGTCAAACCGAACCTTCTTCAATGCCACTATTTTTCCTGTCATAGTATCCTTAGCTTTGTACACGTTACTGTATGTGCCTTGCCCAATCTAAACACAAAATTACAACATACATTGCATTATCAATAACCATTAACATTTGCACTAAATAACAATAAAGACTAAGTGGTAAGATCACAAATCTAGTTTCTTTACAAATGCCACATGACCAACCATAAGTGATCAGATGTTAAAAGTTTTGGAAATGGCATATACCAACCATGTCAAGCAATTTCCCTAACAATATACAAGACTTGAGCTCCAATATAAGTGTCAGAATAATGAAAATCAACCATCACTACTTGCCTTGTCGATCTTCTCAAAAGTATCAGCCCTCCGAGGAATCCACCCATTGATAGCCTCTCCGGCGACAGCAGATAGCCAAGCTGGCCAGCCAGCAGCAACCTGTTCACCATGGATGTTCTTGGGAGGATTACTCAGTCTAGGATTAGGCTTTGAGCGCCTTCTCTCACCTCGCGGCCTTACATTGACATCTTTATCCCCCTTCTGAGGCACCCCATTTTGTGCCTCCCCACCGCCTCCACCATTGTTGCTGGTGTCAGGATTTGCTACTGAAGCTCTCTCTCTCCTCCCAGATTGAACATTCGAATCCCCACTATCTTTCTCTCTCCTCTTGTCTACTACAATTTCAGAAATTGGTGGCCCAGAAGACGAAATCTCTCTTCCAAACACACAGCCCATCTATCCCAAACTTTAAAAACCCTAACCCTCATTTCTCATGACATTTCGAGCTAGGTTCGTAGGTACACACCCTGAAAAATAAAAGAATCAAATCCAATGATTTGGTGAAACAATAACCAAGACAGACTGTATTTCAGCAACAATAAATGAAGCGGAATAATGGGTTTTAATAAAGATGCAGTGGTTGATGAGAAGAACCCTAGCTTTTTCTCTTTTTTGCCCAAGAAAGCAGGGGCAGCAATCATTCAGAGGCATAAAGCCCACAACTTATAGCGGTCAAACATGAGCAAAAACAAAAGGTTGATGGAACAGTAAGGGGAATAAAACAAGAAGTTTGCTTTAACTGTAACAGTGGGTTTGAAACAAGTGTAATTGAAGATCTAAACCAGTTAAAAGAGGGATTGTAACTTAACTGATGACTTGTTTCAATGGTGGGGGTGAGACGGATGAAACTTGATCTGATTCGTATCTTCCCTTTCTTGTATCAATCAGTCAATCCCTCAATTTGCATATGCGTTTTTACCCCCTTCGCCATACAAACGTCTCTATACAAACATTCGGCAGCCCTGTAAAATGTAAAACATCAAACCCTTCCTTTTTTTTCTTTTTTCTTTTTTCTTTTTATACAAATTCTAATATTTATTCTTTTTTTAAAAAGTGTTTATCAACTAATTATAAGTTAGAATTGTTTTAACTTTTTTTCAAAAAAAAATTATTACCGGTTTGGTATCGGTATAAGTTATTTATCCAAACACTCAAAAATGCTTATTACCGGTGTCACACCAGAATAAGTTAATAAGTTATTTTTATAAACAATCCCAAATACCCTTTTATTTATTTAAAAATTTTAAAATATTTTGTGCTATTTTATATGTGAAGAACACCTGATTTTGGAAACCTTGTAAGTTACCTCCAAGATGATGTGGTCTGAATTTTGATCTAAAGCCGAGAACTAAAATGTCAATCATGTTTCATTTTTGTCTCTTTCTTGTCCATCTAATTGTATACCCATACAATACAATGTAGTCGAGTGTAAATTTTAAATAGATACCTAACATAAATAAGTTTTTACCAAATAAAATATATATGTTGATCCATTTTATGTTTTATGTTATGTGGGATAGAATAAAAAAACAAAGTAATGTTAAAGTTGTGAAAAACATGTTTCTTTGTGTGAAAATAATTAGTAGATGATGTTATCAGGATCTTCCTCATAGTCATCGTATCTAATTTTCCTAAAACTTTTGAGACTAATCGGGGTGCAAACAAGTTGGCCTATACACCATGATTAAAATGACTGTGACTAATTTTAAAGTTTTTTAATTGGCGAATATGATACAAGTTGGGGATTTTGTTCTTGGTTGCTACTATAATTTTGAAGTTGAAGTTTGTGGTTTGTCATTCAAGATTCAAGTCATTAAGAATCAATTCATAATAAGAATCAAGAACATAAAGATATAATCAATCAGTCGGTCAGCTTGATTATTTCAAAACAGTCAAGTACAGTTGTTCTTCAATCACTAATCTCTCTCAATCAATCTGTACGTATGAATCTGAACAGTGTTTACTACTTTCTAACAAAACTAACAGCAAGGTATTCATACCACCTACTATAAAAAGAAATTAAACTAACCTTTTATAAAAGGAAACTACAATACAAAGCATTATAAAACAGTTTAAGCACAGGGACTTGAATACAACAATTATGTTCCAACAATCTCCCTCTTTGGATTTAAGTCGAAAACAGCAACAATCTTCAAAAAAATTCAAAAACTTTGATTCTTTAAGATTTGAACTTTAAAGCTTTAACAATCTTCAGAAAATTTCAAAAACTTTGATTCTTTAAGATTTGAACTTTAAAGCTTTAACAATCTCCCTCAAATAACTTTTCAGCACAAAAACAATCTTCCCCTTTATATAACAAAAAACTTCAAACAATCTCCCTCTTTGATCATCTTCAAAAAAACTTTATCTCCCTCTTAATTTGATAAGGATTTAACATTTTGATAATCTCCCCCCCTTTAAGAACCAGTAAACTCTTTACAGAAATGATCTTCACATTCAGTCCCCCTTCAACATTGCGGCACAATAATCTTCAATAATTATCAGCAATTATTAATTAGCACCTTTCAAACTTTGACACCTTCCACGATCTTCAAAAATTGACGCACAAATTTTCATTCACTTTCAATATAAACTCCCCCTTATGATGAAAATGAGGAGCATTATCATCATACTCTGAAATTGATGAACTTAAAAGAATGTCGTCAATTCATAAAAAGTTGAGTAAATCTTTGCAAATTCACTTATATAATCTTTTCAGATTATGAAGGTGAGGGAAAAAACCAGATTCAACTTATGAACTTGTTTTCAATCTTTATAAAAAGATTGGTCTGTGAATATAACAGATATATTCAATACAATGAATGTACTTCATATATGAGATTTTTTAATGTTCATATCACCAAGACTTCCATTCAATCATTGATAGATTTGAAAAGCGTATCTATGAATGTTATGATAAAATAACAAATATTCTATAAATTTGTGCAGTGAAGAAATGATAAAACAACTAATGCTTTAATTTAGGCTCAAAAAGATAAACAGTATGGACTACACAAATTTATCAGACTCAATATGTGATCAACAAGACTTGAAGGGGGGAACATATATCATTCTTTTTCAATATCAGTTATCTCCAAATGAGAAACCGATAGATAATGAGCTGTGTACCCCAAGTGTTATTGATACATTTATCTTTTGAGAGATAAATGAGTAGCTGATGGGGTTATGACAATAGTTGGCATGGGCTTTGCCTTTTTTCAATATTAGTCTCCAAATAGTTAAGAACTAACAGATTGTGTGGTTTGCCCGTATTATAGTAGATGGACCAGGATTTTTTTAATCTCTTAAGCATGGACACAACTCTCATCAATTCTTTTAACTCACTTCAACTACCCGTCTCATTTACATTTTCAGCTCTGCACACAAATCCATTTTGCATTTAAACTCACTCAGATATGGATGTCCTCTTGGATAGGGATGTCGGTTCTGACAGTAGATATTTCTGTTAAGCTCTCAGTCCCTCCTAAAAATATTACATTGTAAGCTCATTTGATCACAAGTCAATGATCAAAAATATTATAACAATTCAGTACATTTGATCAGATGAAAATTGATCAAGAAAAATATTGCAATTAATCACATGATCAAATAGTAAGGAGTGATATACAAAACAAATTATTCATGAAAATATCGGGAGAAATGAATGAAGATCTGTAAGAATAATTTTACAGATATGTATCAATCAAAGAATGAAGGGATATGTATCAATCAAAGAATTATTTTCTAATAAGATCATAAAACAAAGTTGAATACAAAAGAGTGTATTATCATCGAAAATGATTTATCATTTTAGAGACGTGATAATAACAATTTGAAAAATAGCTGAAACAAGTATTAGAAATATGTACGAAGAGAAAATACGTAGGTAAGATCTCAAAGAAATACTTGTTCAAAGAAAGTACTCGTTCCCAAAAAGAAATAAAATCAAAAGCATTTAAAATTCACACTTCTTAGAAGTGAAAAACGTTTAAGTTCAAAGAAATGATTTGAACATTTAGGAAAACATTTTTATACACACATAAGTTGTTCTTATTCTATGCATATTCAGAGAAAGTATAGAATGATATACCTAATAAAAAATGATAGATCATCTTGAAATAATGATGATGAACTCCCCCTAGAAGTTATATCTCAAAAATACTCAAGCAAGTGATTAGGATTTTGCAATTAAGCACAATAAGATCAAATACAGATAAAACTTTAAGCTCTAGCTATCCCTAGAAAAATGGATTAGATTTTATACATAAAGATTTAGCATTTTAAGCTAACTTACTAAAAATGAAAACTTTTTCTCATCGAGAGGTTTTATGAAAATGTCAACAAGTTGGAAATCAGTCTGTACAAAATGCATCTCAATTAAGTCTTTTTCTACATTATCCTTAATGTGAATTATATCTGATATCGATGTGTTTAGTCTTAGAATGTTGAACTGGATTAGCAATTATTGCAATCGCGCTTTTTAAATCACAGTTGATAGGAACTTGATTTAAACATGTATCCGTAGTCTAAAAGTTGTGTTTTTGTCCACAAAACTTGTGAACAACAACTACTGCTGAAACAACCCACATATAGCCCATGAACAGATAATTCACATCATCATACTCATAACACTAAAAATAGTATTGTTACAAAACATGGACTAACAAAAACTTTCTTTAATACATATATGAGTAAACAAAATGCTATCAACACTAAACTTTTCCCTTTCCTTTATCCTGGGAGGTATGATGATCTGCAAAACCGGTTAATYCAACAACTGAGTRTTAGACCAAAAAGGTCTAGTGAGTGTATAAATTTTAAACAAACAACATACATTCTAAACAATAAGTTTAGAAACAAACCTGTTTCAATACATAAACATATTTATCTCTCTCACAGTTACACCGTCATTTCATCTCTCTCGCGGTTACACCGCCATTATATATCTCTCTCGTGGTTACACCGTCATTACATCTCTCTCGCGGTTACACCGCCATTTCATCTCTCTCTCGCGGTTACACCACCATTACATCTCTCTCTGGCGGTTACACCGCCATTTCATCTCTCTCTCGCGGTTACACCGCCATTACATCTCTCTCGCGGTTACACCGCCATTATATCTCTCTCTCGCGGTTACACCGCCATNCATCTCTCTCGCGGTTACACCGCCATTATATCTCTCTCTCGCGGTTACACCGCCATTACATCTCTCTCGCGGTTACACCGCCATTTCATCTCTCTCTCGCTGTTACACCGCCATTACAAACACACAGCTTCGGTCCATCGGACCTCTAGTTCCAAACAGTACTTAGAAATTATATCGACAACTAGGACTAGAGCCCCTCAGAGAGCCCCTCTGGTCTCTCTTCCAGAGCTTCTGGTCACATGACCAGAGCCTCTGGTTCTAAATCATACTTTAGAAAATATTTCAACATATTTGGACCAGAGCCCCTCTGGTCTTTCTTACAGAGCTTCTGGTTTCAAGACCAGAGCCTCTGGTTGAACTAATCAGCCTTAGAATGTATTTTAACACCTTCGACCAGAGCCCCTCTGGTTTCTCTACCAAAGCCCCTCTGGTCTCTCTACCAGATCCCCTCTGGTCTCTCTTCCAGAGCTTCTGGTTTCACTACCAGAGCCTCTGGTTCCAAACCATACTTAGAATTTATATTAGAGCATACTCGACCAAAGCACCTCTGGTCTCTCTACTAGAGCTTCTGGTCACATGACTAGAGCCTCTGGTTTAACTAACCAGACTTATAATATATTTCACATATTCGACCAGAGCACCTCTGGTCACTCTACCAGAGCCCCTCTGGTCTCTCTACCGGAGCCCCTCTGGTCTTTCTTCCAGAGCTTCTGATCATACGACCAGAGCCTCTGGTATAACTT